CCCTCACAGATCCAGGAAGGGTCTCTATGTATAGATGTGTGTGTGTGTGTGTGGCCATGTGATACCTGGGGGTCACTGCGCAGAGAGGCCACTCCTCCACCTCCCAGTGAGCTCTGCAGGACAAAGTTAAGGCCGTGGATTCCTGGCAGAGTGTATCTGTGAATGACAAGGAAGAAAAAAACTAAAAAAACCACACTCGTAACCATGGTAACCAACACTTTAAAACCACACACGGTCAACCATATGTGTTAAAAACACACACACACACACACACGCACACGCACACACACACGCACACACACACACACACACACACACACACTGGCACCATGTGCTGGTTTGGCAGTTTATTGCACACGTTAATGTACCAAGCGGGCTTTTGATGTGTGAGCAGTTAAACGTGTGGTTTACTAGTAAAGTGTGTGTGTGTGCGTGCCTCTGTCTGTAAGCAGTTAACTGTGTGTGTGCATGTGTGTGTGAGTGTGTGTGTGTGCATGGCCTCCCACTGGGTTGACGAGTGCCGGAGGTGCACTAATGAAGCGTCTGCGGCGGCAGGGAGGCGTTTCAGGGTGCGAGAGGAGACGCAGGTCAGCGAGCTTTATGGCCTCCATCTCTTCATTACGCTAATCGCTAACACACCGCGCGCTGAGTCACCGCTCAAACATGTCCGCCGTGGCCCTATACATGCTCAGGTACAGCCACGCCCACTAAGCTAGTGCTGCTCGTCTCGTCAAGGAAATTCAACAACCTCCAGCCAATCCAATGATAATAATTACAAAATATACAATAAATATAATAGATACCAAAAACCTGCAGTTCCTCTAACTGTCACTTGGGGCTCGCTCCTAAATTGAGTCAATCCATAGAGCCATATTAAAAATGTCCAGATTTTAACACGGGAGTAGTGAATCAGCTTCATAACATCAGAGGTCAAATGGTGGCAACCGCAGCGTTAGCTTGATACCTCTTAGTTTAACTTCTGGTGAATAGCACCCTCTCTGGCCACAAGTGGTAGCGACAGTAGATCAGAATAGCTACTTTCAGCTGTTCCTTTATTAACGACTTAATAGAAGAGCCAGAGCAGGCGTATCCACATGTTTGAGTTGGCAGATGTTTATTTGAGGCAGGATTTTGTTTTATTTGAGGTGGTGTTGCTTCTTACTGGATTACATCACCATGGCAACTTATGCTGTTAATTGAATGGGCTAACAAACAATTTTACAATAACGTTGCTGTTCTGTAAGTATTATTATATAAATTGGGACACCTATTTGTGCTTGTGGAGGTTGCAGGTAGACTGAGCATACATTAGAATTAGGGCTGTGCGATATGACCAAAATCTTATATCCCGATATAAGATATCTATCGTCCCGATAACAATATAAATAACAAAAATGTCACATTTTCTGTAAATTCTGTGAATCTCGGGCAGCTCGACCTGCGTGAAGTGTTTCCAGCTGCGCGTCATGTAGCTGGAGTCGAGTGTTTTAACCGATGCATGAAACTATACATTTTTAGACATAAGTTGTAACGGCCGCCGTTTTCATTGTGAGTATTACAGGGCGTGCTGCGGGGAAAAGCCTGTTCTAACGTTTGAGTCTAAGGTTTATTTTTTAGCACCTGGCGGCTCTTTTTTGCTTCTCCTCCGTAAACACTCTGCATCTTTCACGTGATTCAGTTTATTTTGAAAAGTCTCAACAGGATCTTGAGCTTTATTGTGAAAGGTTTATGTGGAAAATAAAAAAGCGGACACACGATGGTGTTACCGTCATTGTTGCTAACCACAACGCATAAAAACAGGCGCTTGTCTGTCTGTAGTGTGGTTATATTAAATATAAGAGAAAGAGAGAACTTTAAGAAATTAATATAGCCACTACAGTGACCATCAGAACGATGAAAAAATATTGCCGTAAATAGTTTATTTTGCAACACCACGAAACAAACGATAGCGTAAAATGAAACGATAGACGTTTTTATATCGTCATCCGATATATATCGTTATATCGAACAGCCCTAATTAGAATTCTGTTCTGTATTTACTCGTTATTTGCGTTCCATTAAACATGATCGAGGCTGCAGCTGAAAGACAAAACTAAAATCATCTTATGTAAATCTGAATTTTAGTTAAATAATGATCCATCAGATTCTCCCGTGTCTTAATAATACAGTTGTTATATTGATGAACTCCGTTAACTCATACGACTGGTTCTTTTCCCTGCTTTTCTTGCCTTCAAATTGCATAAACTTTATTAATATAACAGCTCTTTTTTTCAGCCATACGGCACCTTTAACACTAAACTACTGTACAGAGCTTTTCCTCCAAGGTCTTCAAGGTCAACTTCATGATTTATTGGAGGAAAAGTGACAAAAAAAAGATTGTCTACATCTCATCACATTTGACCTCTAACCTCTCTTTGAAGGTCAATAGGTTGATCTGAAGGTTAGAGTGATAATAATGTTATATAAAGCTATTTAGATCTATGTTCCTTACTGTCATTGTAGGCATATAAAGAATGTGTAATAAAGAATAAACATGTGGATTCTAAATATCATGTCACTTTTGACCTCTGACCTCTTTTTCAAGGTCAAATAAGTTCAAACTTTTACATCTTTTATCTTTAAAACTATGCTAAATCTCTACGTTGTTTTTTTCCCCAAAATTGACAACCTTTAGGAAATGATGCTGGTATTGGTCTTTGTAAATTTCACATCACAGTTTGCATCCAAATATGACATCACATTTGACCTCTGACCTCATTTTTACATTTCACATCTGCCTTTTTTTCAAGTTGACCCCAAAAACAGCTGTCATTCATTACCTACTGTTTAGAACGTTGAATATATACAACGTATATCGATATACTACAAAATCTATAAAATCTATATTTGAATTCATGATTTCAGGTTTTTACCCTGGTAAATAGATACATGTCTTCCTGCTTATTTGAGCTGCTTGCGTTTAACTTGACTTTTATCTGCTTTAACAAAGGAATTTCTCAGCTTTGGGGTAAACAGAGTGCATCTTATCTTACACAAATTGTGTCTGCTACTAATCTAACTGGCAGCGGATAAACTGTTTATAATCTTGCAGAAAACTCGTCTCTTTGTGAGGAGTAAATAAAAACACTGAACCTTGAGATTTTTCTGTTTAGAGACAACCTGGTCATCCACCGCCTCCGGCTATCAAACACCAAAGCCCTGGTTTCTATTACGTCTTCTCTGCTGTGTCATTACAGGGTGATTACCTCGAGGAGGAGGGCTCTGACAGTGAGCTGTGTTCATGGTGTTGTATCTCAGTTTTAGTGGAAGTCATGCTCCTGGTTTCCATCAGTATGTTGTGGGCTTTTTTTCATGACTACAGCATGAGGGTTTCGGCCACAGCCATCCTTCAGTGTCTTCAGCACTCTGTTAAATCTTTGTCAGTGTGGTATTTGTGGGGTTTGAAAACGGAGCCGAAGGCCTGGTGATGATCTTTTAAGTAGGATTTTAGGTTTCCTCTTGTTATCCCGGCAGACACAACACAATGAACAGCTGTGGAGCATTACCAAATCAAAAAGCAACTGATCGGAAAGGCACAAAGCCCTTTAGCTCATTTACCTAGCAACTGTTTTCATTTTCAACAAATCAGTACATTGTTAAATCTCCTTTAGTTTTGTTATTTTAAATCCTACACATTTAAAAGACTGACTTCCCTTAAAATGGAAAGGGAAAAACTCCCTTACGGAGATGAGGCAAGGAAGCATCTGGTCCAAAACATGTGTGGAAGAGAGTCAGAGTTAATAATAACAGATAATTAAAATGCAGAGAGGTTGTTAATACATAGTGAGTGAGAAAGGTGACTGGAAAGGAAAAACTCAATGCATCATGGGAATCCCCCGGCAGCCTACGTCTATTGCAGCATAACTAAGGGAGGATTCAGGGTCACCTGGTCCAGCCCTAACTATATGCTTTAGCAAAAAGGAAAGTTTTAAGCCTAATCTTGAAAGTAGAGATAGTGTCTGTCTCCCGAATCCAAACTGGAAGCTGGTTCCACAGAAGAGGGGCCTGAAAACTGAAGGCTCTGCCTCCCATTCTACTTTTAAATACTCTAGGAACAACAAGTAGGCCTGCAGAGCGAGAGCGAAGTGCTCTAATAGGGTGATATGGTACTACAAGGTCATTAAGATAAGATGGGGCCTGATATCTGTAAGGATCATCCACCACTGCTAGTTTCTGTGGACGTCCAGGTCTTTTTGTGTTGCTGAGTTCACCAGTGCTTTCTTTCTTTCTCAGGATGTACCAATCTGAAGATTTTGCCACTCCTAATATTGTAGCAATTTCTCAGATGAGTTTTTTCTGTTTCTGCAGTTTAGACGGCCTGTTTTCACCTGCAGGAAGCTCCTTTGACCACATGTTGTCTGTTCACAGCAAAATCTTCCAAATGCAAGCATCACACCTCAAATCAACTCCAGGCCTTTAATCTTCTTAATGGATAATGACATAACGAAGGAATTACCCACAGCTACCCATGAAATAGCCTTCAAGCCAACTGTCCACTGACTTTTGATCCCTTTAAAAAGAGGGTGGCTTAAGGAGCTGAAACTTCTAAACTCTTCATCATCTGTAAATGTGGACACCCTCAAATGAATTGGAATATGTTTCAGTAAACAGGTAAAAAACCCACAAAACTTGTGTCAGTATCCAAATATAAATTGAATTAACTGTAGACCATATACTATGATGTATATTTTATCATTATTACCTCTTGAACAAAAGCTGAACATCTGCATCTTGATATTTTAGTTATATTTACATGTTGGAAACTGTATTCTAGTGACTGACTGATTTAAAATAGTGGTGCACAGAGGCAAAAGTAAAAGAAGGACCTGAGTGTGTCTTTATTCCTCTGTGACTCTCACAACAAACAGCTTTTTCCCCTCCTGCTCACCGTGTGACGGCATTCTTCACTCCTGGCTTGATGAGGTGGGAGAAGTATTCCTCCACCACAGAAGAAGTCAGGTGTTTCTTCAGATAGGGGAAGTAGAGCGGATGGCGAGCTACGACTCCTACAGAGACAGAGATGCACAGATGTGGCGATTTTCATTTCTCTGGGATTAAAACAATCACTCGTGTTTTGCTCATTAAAATACAAAATCAAAAACAGGGCTTTACTATACTATGCCTGAATATTTTTCCAAACAAAAAGTGCTTAGAGCAGTAAACTGTAAACAGTTACTGTAAACCTTCGTCTTTATAATTGGCCTCCTTTTCGTCTTTCCTTTGAACACTGAACGACGTCACTGACCCTTTGAAGACATTTGAGTCTTGTTAAGGATTTTCTGAAGAACTCTCTAAACAACAAATGGGCTCACTTGGATGATTTTAATGAAGCACGAATAACATCTCCAACAATAACCTGCTGAACCTTCAAGGACTTCTCAATCAGACTCCAAACTGACCACACACACAGAGATTCCTGGCCTCTCATTGGCTGTAATTTTGAGACAGTCAGATTTGGTGAACTGGAGGTTAGACAGGATTTCATTTAGTTTGAATCAGTGTTGTATATTTCTGAATATCATTCCTGAGGTTTATTTGTTCTCACCAATGTTAGCAGAGTCTCCTTTGTCGCCGCTCCTCGCGTACGCCAGCTCCTCCAGTCTGTAGCTGTGTGGTCCACTGGGCAGGTCTGGGCAAAGAACAAAAAAACAAAAATGCCTTCAAATTTCTTTCCTTGGCTTCTGATAAAACGCAGAAACCAGCTCAACGTCAGCAACGTAAGCCTTCAAGTGACAATTAAAGAGCCTCAAGGGCTCCTCGACAAACCCTTGGACCTGTTAAAAGAGCTAACCTTTTCATGGACCTTTCAAATACCTGCAAAGACCTTTGATATGTTTTAATGACCTTAAATCCATTGTTGCATATATTTATGTTGAATGGTATTGTTATATGTAGTTTTTGTAATTGTTTAAACTTGAACAGCAGTTCTCCAGGTTTTCCCAAGGTTTTTCAAAGTTTTGGACTTTGGTTTGCTTTGGCTGCTTTTTTATTCATTTTCAGTACGGTCTTTGTATGTTTATCAGCCTGTTGCAAAAAACAAAACAAACCTAATTCGTTCCAGTTTATTTCGTTGATTCTATGAAAAACACCAACAATAACACGGGTTATAGACATGAAATAGTATTCTTGCAGCAGCAAGGTGACTTCCAAGTGCTATTCACTGAAAACCTAGCATTTCTTGCTTTTGCTTTGCATTTGTAAAAAAAAAAGTCAAGGAAGCTGGACAAAGAAAATTGTCCAGTATGGACAAAAGAACAAGTGACAGACCTAAAAAACAAAATACCGCAGATAAACAGTATCAGAGAGTCAAATCCTTTGAAAACAGTCCATTAAAGATCTGACACAGGACCTGACAGTCATCTGGACCATCAGTTGATCAATCTACTGTTAACTGAAGGCCCATCAGAAATGGTCTCAGTGGAAGTGTGGCAGCCATTTTTAATGAAAAAAGTCTGAGGTGTGCTAGATTACGCTAGAACTGGACTGAAAATCAGTTGCAACAGGTCCTATGACGTGATGAATCCAAATTTGAAATGTTTGATTCAAATCACTGTCAGTATGTACAGATGAGATCAAGAGAGAGGTTCAACAGTCTGTTGTACCTTTGTACAAGTGGAAAACACTGTGCAGGTAACAGATTGTAATGGTTTAGGGCTGCAGTTCAGTTGGAGATCTTGTTAAAATTGATGGAACTATGAACGCAGAAATGTGCCACCAGATTCTGATTCACCGTGCAGTACAAGCTGGAAAGGGTCTAATTGGTTACAACTTCATTTTTCAGTGTAACAATGATCCCAAACACACTGTCAATGGAGTAAAAGCACACCCTGGATAGAAAAACACACAGTAAAACATAATCAGTCATGGATTGTCAAGACCACAACATTATTGAAACAGTGTGACCCAGTCTAATGAATGAAAGGTGGCCAACATCCAAGAGTTTTGAACCTTCTTCAAGAAGGTTGGAGGATTATTCCTGAAGACAACTTAAAGAAATGACAAGAAAGCTTGGCTAAGAGAGCTCAGGCTGTGTTGAAGAATAAATTTGGTCATACCAAATATTGACTTTCAAGCTCATTAGAATTGTACAAACTCAGTTCTTGAACCTTGCTATGAACAGCTCCCACACTATTGAAGAACTTGTAAGGCCGTCTTAAGGACAGCTTTAAACCTCTAAACTCTCATTAATCATCCTAGTGCCTACATCTACAATATTACTACAACCACTCTGTAACTGACAGAAACCAACAACTCTGACTCTGCTTTAGCTGTCCATGTTGCCACCAATGATTTTAAAAAAAAAAGGACTCTCAAAGATGAGTGTCGGGAACTTGTGGATAGTCTGCAGGACACTGGAAAGAATTATGTCTGCTGTTTTAAAGATCTGATGTTCAGCCAGACAAACTGTACCTGTAACACTCAAAACACTCACTCTGTTAATTATGACCACGTACCTAAAATCACGTTAAACCCATGAAATATGATTTTGTCCAATCTTTAATTTGTGTTTGCTAAAGTGACTTTGAAGTATTTCTTTCTGCCCACATGTTCTAATCCGTAATTAATAATAGGCAGATAAATTGCAACTAAACTCAGTCAGTGACTGATTTCTAAATGGAACCATATGAATAAATATTAAAACCAGAAACGTTCTTCTGGCTCTTCACTTGTTTTGGTCTTTGTAACTGGAGAGGCATTCCTCTTCTCAGTCAGGAATTTATAAGAGTGTGTTTTTGTAAATAACGTTTCTCGGCTTCAGTTTGTATCTTGTCACAGCTTCGCACGAGTGTCCTAAATTCTGCTGTGATTGCTGTCCAGGGCCATGTGAAGGAAGCTCTGGTTGAAAGGGTGAAAGGATAAAAAGTGGCACAGCTTGTACTTCTTAGGAATCCCAGATTCAGACAGCCTCACAAACACAGAGCAGCAATCCTGCATAGCTGAACTGTTTCTCACAACCTCATGACTGATCTGAAAGTCTATTAACTTTTGCAGTTTGTTGAGGTTTTTTAACGAGTTTTTTTTAAATACTTAAATCTTGATTGTGTTAAGTGGGCTTTGGTTTGTTGGTGTGGAGTGGTTTGTGCATTTTGAATGTTCATTGTTTTGGCCAACACAGGGTGACTCCTCTGCTTCCAAACAGAAGTGCAATGGTACAGAAATCTATGAGGGAAATACTGTACTCACCTGATCTGTGACCTCTGTGAGCACCTAATGACTTTAAGGCAGCGGTCCCCAACCTCCGGGCCGAGAGTTGAGGCTCAGGCGTGAAATGTGTGGTTTTCGGGGTTTTTATCGGTTTTCAGCGTTATTTTGTTATCGTTTTTATCGTTAACTTGGTTTTCCTGGCTTTTTTCACGTGTGTTATGAATAAATCTTCTTTTTTTCGGTACCGGTACTAGTTTTATTTTGTTGTATTTATCCGCGACACCTTAAAGGCCGGTCCGTGAAAATATTGTCGGGCACAAACTGGTCCGTGGCGCAAAAAAACACCCTGCATTTCCATGAAATGACGTCACTTCCAGTTTCAGGCAGGTAATGGCGGACATGCGACTGTTCGCGCTGACGTCTATTCCAACGTAGGAAGTGTTAGGAGACCTGAGCAACTCAGCACTTCCTTTGGCAGATCCGGATCTCATTATTTAAGTCTGGTTAAGTGAATAACAAAGAAGATCAATCTTCTAAGTCCTCATCACTAGAATGGTGTGCATATGGAGACAAAACATTATGAAGCTCTGATTAATCAAGGTGGCATTTCAGTGGTAGCCATTCATTGCTGATGGCAGGTTAGGCTGATGATTTAGTTTGAACTGTATCTTGAAATATTGACTAAATAGAAGTTGTGGCTTGGACAACCAAGTGGCTCACCTGGCTAATTTCGTACCAAAATAATCCTTTTTCAAAAGATCTGTTATGTTTTGTTGCTATTTTGTTGTTATTTGGATGCCCCCCCAAAAAACCTTAGCCATTATTTACATATACAGAAAATATAATGCAGGGTGTTGTTAACAGAGATATATGCCAATTCTAATTTGGTGATTGGCATATAAACATCTGGAAGTTGTTTGGACTCTTTCAAGGTCCAGAATATTCTAGTCATGATGCTTGGAGTTACACTTCTAAACAAACCATGGATCCTCCTCAAGGACTGGTTGAGCCCTCAAGGATCCCACTAACCTCAATAGCCCATTCATCCTCGCCGCATTGGTTGCTTCATGCGTCAATGTGACAGCATCACACAGCCACTTTCTTTTGTCCATTTGTAATCTTTTGCAGAACTTATGTGGAAATCTCCGTGAGTTTTGTGCTAACTGAGAAGGCCTGTACAGGTGGACTTGCTCACATAGTCTGGCTTCAGGCTGGTCTAATTTGAAAAAGCTGTGACGAAGGTGGCAAACATGCCAGGTTGGAAACCGTTCGTGAGGGTGAGAAAGGTGAGCATAAATGAGCCTTGGGAGTCTTAAGGCTGAATTTTCTCAGAAACAGAAACAAATGTGGAAAAAGTCTAAACACACTCACTGGTAAACTGGCCGGTCAAGGCAGTAAAAATCTTACTCAAATTCGACATAAGATGACCTCAAAAAGTACTCTGAAGGACCTCTAAGTTCTTTCTTCTTGAACTTTTACATGTAAAAGTTCTCAAGTTATCACTACAAGCTCTTAAAGATCTCTAAGCATTCAACCATACTTTAATAATAAAGTAAATTAACCACTAAAAACAACAGGAAAGCCTGCTCTCTGATTGGCTGACAAGTGAATCAGATATTGTAGTTTTTACAATACCTGATTCACTTGTTTGTGTACACCAGAGCTCACAATGTGTGATCACAACGTGTGGTTATCAGGTAATTATAACAAATGCTGCTTCAGTAACTGGTATAAGTAACCAAAAACTGGTATTAATCTCTCTGGTGCTGTAATTAAAGTGCATGTTTCTTTACCTGCATCAGGTACATCCTCTACTGAAGTAGGAGGGGCTTCATCCTGCACAGGTGTGTCTGGTTCCTCCTCTGACAGAGACTCCACCAGCTCTCCACCGATGTGAATGTCCACCTACCAGGACATCAAAACTTACAGATGTAACGACTCTATAGACTCAGTCTTTTTTAATATATTGTGGCTTTATTAAAAAAACATTTATTATGTATTTAAATATTAGTAAAACCAGTTACAGTATTACCTTTTATCTTTATATAACTGTACTTGACATAATATCAATATATACAGTTTTAAAGGTATTTATCTTTATAGTCACTTTATATAAAGGTTTTGTAATGTTA